AACCAAATGAACAAATGGCGCTGTAGTGGGATCACTTAAATGAGATTCTGTTAATAATAATTTAAAAAGAGAGCTGTGGAAAGATCCTCACTTCTGTGAGACACTGAACTGAAGGGGAAAAAAAGAAAAAAAGGTTATTTGGTCCCCTGAAATTATTTGGATGGAACCAATACTTGTGATGGCATGAGGAAACAATTTGTGTGGACAAAGTGTAGCTCAAGCTCTCTCCAGTAGCAAAATCCAGCCATGATGAAGTCAGTCCAAAAACACTGAGATCAACAGACACAGGGTATCAGTTTAAGCCTACAAAGAGTCTGTTGTAAACTGAATGTGATTAAAGAAATACGTGGAAAAGCTATTGTAAGATGAATCGCATCAAATATTTGTGGACTAAGAGTGAGTTAGACAGAGATTCCACTTCCCTGGGGAAAAAGAAAAATTGTTCTTGCTACCAGGAAAAGCATTTATTTAATGAAAAATTAACAAAAAGCATGTTTTTACTGCAATTTCTGCATATTAAGAAGCCTTTCTAAAACAGAAAAAAAAGGGTCCCTTTTTAAGAAACGGGGTTGTATTTGAATTCATCTTAAGTTCCAGCCTAACCACTGATAAAAATCAATCATAGGGATACCCTTCAAAACTTCAGTGTGTCCCTACAGTAGGCTGAGTACTGCTTGTGTCCCACTGTCTGAACTCTGTAGGTTTAGGTTGTCTAAGAAATTACTATTTAGCTATTTATAATCAATAGAGATGGTTAATGGCATTTAAAAAAAAAACCTAACTCTTCTTGCAGTTTTAAGTTGCAGAAGATTTAATCTGCAGAGGTACCTTTTTAGATTCAGAATCTGGTCCAGCATATTGCTACTTTTCTGAGAGATGTATCTTGGTTTTTTTTTGGGTTTCTTTAATCCTATCCATAAGTTGATGTTTGGGGAAAGTGATTGTTCCTTTTGCATTGTAAACCGTCTTTCAGAGGGGTGTAATTGAAAACCCTTCTGAGTTTAAACTAATTTGAGGAAAAGATCTTGAAGCTGTGTAGGTTGTAAACTGTCATGTTATCATTGAGGGTAGATCAAGGATGTTTGCAATCCTTTCTTAAGATGGGTTAATTCCAGTCCTTCTTTAGACCTAGACCTGTTTGAAAGGGCTCCATTTCAGACAACATTGTTATTCAGAATTTTAGCTGTTTCTCTTTCCTTATTGTTTATAACGGGAACTCTACTTGCATCTCAGATGCAGAATCTGGTAAGATCTACTGTTAGCTCAATAAGAAAATGAAGGTGAATGAAAAAAAAGACCATTTCAAATTCAGAAAAGGGATCAATAAAGTTGTAGAAGTAATGAAAGACCATCTGTGAATGAATGTATCTTGTATCATGTGGTTTTCTGCTCATGAACCTGTAAGAGATTTGATCCTTTGCTGCTAAAGACTCTGTAAATTACTGTCCTTCTGGAATACATTCCCAAAGGAAGATATGTATTTCCTTATTTAGTTAAATCTTCCATTTTCTGGTGGAAAATTCCAGTGTGTTCATAAGGGGTAGGTAATTTCTGTGAAACTCTGATGTTTGTATTTGAGATTAAAGGGATGATGATATTTCTGAAAGGCCAGATTATGCCTAACTCGTACTGACTATGGACAGAGGTACCTGAAAACAAATTGTGGTCATCATTTGAGCTCTATAATCCTTACCTAGGGTTGTGCATCCATTTTTTTGAGTGTTGTAGTCACTTGGAAGACTAACATAGATCCTCAACTTTGCTGCCTTAGCCATTTTAGCAATTTGTTAGCCTTCTAGAATTCTAATGGGCACATGGCTTGTAATTTAAACTGGGTCTTTAAAAAGCTGCAAGAAGAAGGAAAAAGTTTCTTTGTCTCTACTATCGCTGTAGATTGGCCTACAGTCCAACCTATAGGTTTTCATTTTAGATCAAAAACATAATAGTCTCTGCTATTACTAGTACGAGGAGGTGGTCACCTGTATTGCCTTCCTTGCTTCTTTTTATAAATTCCCTGCAGAAAATGGTTTCATCCCTGTTTGGAGCAGTAACAAGCAGAAGGCGATGATGATCTACAGCATGCTATCTGAGCGCAATAGAGGAAATCACATATTCACTAATAAAGTTAGCAGAAGAGCTTTATTTCAACGTGCTAGTCAAACTCTTCTTGTGAAGCTATGTGACAGAATTTGGGTTATTCTGGGTTAAGAGCAGTAGGAGTTTTTTGATACAATTTGGATATATATATATATATAAATATAAAAACCCAAATAATCAATACAAACCAAGGCATCCTCTGTATTTTATTGTCAAAGTGAATTGTCGTGGAGACTTTCGTAGACAGTTTACAATATTTTCATATGTCTTATTGAATATAAATGTCCTAAAGTATAGAACGTTGCTGCGGAATAATCAACTAATGATTTTGTGTCCCTCCCTTTTTGTTTGCCAAAATAGAGACGACTACTTAGCGCTGATTTTCAGAAAGCGAGATTTTGTAAAAAACCAAGTTTCTATTAAGGCAGCACTGAAATGAGTAACAAAAATGTCACACTCAGAATCGATAGCAAATGTATATCTTGGTGGGGTGCAATGCAGAATATGAATAATTCACGTTAACTTCAGGAGGGAGTTGCATGGTTTCTGCAGAAGAAAAGCTTGGGATCTGTCACATCAAACATAGCTGCAAAATGCTGAATTCAGTGGGCTAGTAGAAAACTGCCAGTAAGAGTCTATGTGGCGATCTCTGTCTTTATACATATGCTTCACTGCAGACACGTAGGTGGGAAAGCGTAGAAGACAGAATTCAGGTAGGATGTATGAAGTGTTAGTCTGTTGGACTAAGTCAAACATTAATAGAAAATACAGATTGCTTCTCTATGTACAGGCAATAGGTAGTTTTCAGAACAGGCAGTGTGCAGCTGAGTGTAGGTTCTGGTATGGATTTTTTTTGCCTGAGTTTTTGTTGTCCTTGGGTTTTTGGTGGTGAGGGTTGTTTTTTGATTTTTTTTTTTTAAATATAACCTAACTTGACTTAGGAAGCAAAGCTCAAAATGAGATCATTAGAAGCAAAATAAGTCCTAACAAAGGGCTGTTTAAAGTCACTGTTTGTTTTCAGACCCAGTTGACTGCTGCTAAGAATCATTTCGTGCTCAATATGCCAAATCGTATGGACATGCTCCACCTCACAGCAACCCCACACATGGTTCAAGAGGCTGCTGGGCTTTTGAAATGCAGTCCTTTAACTGTGAAGTGGAAAATCAAGATAGGGTAATTAGAATCATAAATACCAGATTTTTGAGGAGGAGCAGTATTACTTTAGCCTGTCTTTTTAACTTTTTACATACAATAGTCTTCAATTTTCTGATAATAACTTACTATTTTCTATAAAATATTTCCTTTTTACTTATTCTTCTTTTTGACTATGCCTATAAGATTTCTTATTTCTCAATCCACTCCTTATTGCAGATGCCCCTGCTTAGCACAGTGACCCATTATGCCATCCAAGCACATACCCTGATTTTCATGAACAATGTTGCTGTAATTAATCCCAGAAGTTGTCTGCATTTTAATACTCCACTGGACCCCTCTATTTTGAAGATGAAGCTGGAAGTGTTCTGGGTGCAGATTGTCTTATAAAATCTTCAGCACTGCCAGATTTGGATGAAAAGTGCATTTTCCAGTGAACTAAGGATTCTTTCAGTCTTTCAAAAAATTGAAGGTATACACGTGCTATCGGAACAGTGTTACCATAAAGTCTCAAAAATTTCAGAATGTGGGCCTGAGCTTTAAGTCAGGATTTTTGCATGATTTTTACAGCGCCTGCTGTATGTATCCTTCCTTTTTGTATAGAAAATAGATATATCATCTATTATCTATAATAAATGTATATTACATTTATATGTGTCTTTTCCTGATCTGACTGTAGGTGGGAAGTATAGGGTACTTTGATAAAAAATCCTCATTTACTTAGTACAACCCTGAATTTGTGTTGTCCAAATAATGTGCAAATTTTTAATTGCTTTACTATCCCAGATCTGCGAACCTGAAAAGATTCTTGCAACATGACTATAGTACTCTGTTGTTCACATGGGTAAAGTTTTATAAAGATGAGTTTTGTCTTGATAGCAAGTTATTTTATTGTATTCCATTTTCTTTTTTTTTTTTTCCCTTTTCTCTTTTTTCTCCCTTTTTCTCCCTTTTTCTCCCTTTTTCTTTTCTCCTTTTCTTTTCTTTTCTTTTCTTTTCTTTTCTTTTCTTTTCTTTTCTTTTCTTTTCTTTTCTTTTCTTTTCTTTTCTTTTCTTTTCTTTTCTTTTCTTTTCTTTTCTTTTCTTTTCTTTTTTCTTTTCTTTTCTTTTCTTTTCTTTTCTTTTCTTTTCTTTTCTTTTCTTTTCTTTCTTTTTCTTTTCTTTTTTCTTTTCTTTTTTCTTTTTTCTTTTTTCTTTCTTTTTCCTTTTTTTCTTTTTTTCTTTCTTTTTCCTTTTTTTTTCTCTTCTCTTCTCTTCTCTTCTCTTCTCTTCTCTTCTCTTCTCTTCTCTTCTCTTCTCTTCTCTTTTTTTTTCTTTTCTTTTTTTTATTAGTTATGGTTAAATACGTGCTGATTTTTATTCCTGAAAAGCTAAGTTGACAGTAGCTTGTATCGGGAGACATTCTATCTTCTTAGAGTCTCTTGCAAATGCAAAACCAGATGGGTACTTTTTTAAAGGAATTGCATTTCATTATACAGTCTTCTTAGGTGAATTTTCATGTTTAAGAAGCCAGAATACAAGAGAGTGCTATATTAATGTATTATTCTCACAACAAACAAGCCACTGTTCTGTTGCTACCTGCTTGGCCATTGTTCCCAATTGTGTATGCTTTGCAGTGGTATTTGGATGGTTTCCTGCTCTCTGCCAGCACAAAAAAGGCATTTCTGTTACAATGGCCCCTAACCACACAATGACGGCATTAAGGATTTATTTGGAGGTTTCATTATTTTCTTCTCTTTTGTTCCTTCCAGGATGTCTTCCAAGCGACCAGCCTCTCCGTATGGGGAAGCAGATGGAGAGGTAGCCATGGTGACAAGCAGACAGAAAGTGGGAGAAGAGGAGAGTGACGGGCTCCCAGCCTTTCACCTTCCTTTGCATGTGAGTTTTCCCAACAAGCCTCACTCTGAGGAATTTCAGCCAGTTTCTCTGCTGACGCAAGAGAACTGTGGCCATAGGACTCCCACTTCTCAGCACAACACAATGGTAGGTTTGCTAATGGTCTATTGTGCTTACATCCATTCTTTGAATTCTGCCTCTACAGTACTTTGGCATCAAGATCTGTACTTTATGGAGTATACAATGCACAGTTACACTTACAGAACACACTACAATAATGTGAAAGTTTTGACCTAGCTGGACTGCCTTTACCCTTCACTACAAACGCTAAATCACTCACAGTGCAAACCCTACTTTTCCTCACCTTTGCCTACTGGCATTTAGGGTGCTAAGATTTTTTAGCTGCAGCGATGTGGATTTGAAGTGTATGTGTTCAGCAAACAGTAAATGATTTTGGAACGCTGTAAGTGAGAGTCATGTTTGGCATGGTGTCTGAACTATCACCCCAATGCCAAGTTTATGCAATAGTTAAGGCACGGAAGTCTGTATAAAGGGCAAAAAAGGCAACTTTGGATTTTGCTTGTTTTAAAAACTCACGTCTGATGTGTATTTCACATGCCACAGATACCTACAAGTAAATTTGCTGTGCTTATGGAATTAAATTAGCCTTCTACTTTTTCACTTGTGAATTCCCACCTTTTTGTGCACTTTACAAATGACACCATGCGCTTAATTCATTGCATTTAGCAGCCCACTGAGAGACCAGAACTGGCTTTATCTGAAAGCAGATAATCGAGCAAAAAGCAATGCCTTGTTCTTTGCTAGTGTCACTATCATAACCTGATGTGCTTGGGCCCTTCATGCAGAGTGCTGTGATACATTCTTACAAAGGTGGAAAAGTGCAGAGAGGCATTGAAACCCCAGGACTTAGGCACCTCCACAAAACTTTCTAGTGTGAGCCCACTCAGCTTTTGCCTGTTTACAAATAGACTGTAACTTTTCTGTTAGTCCCCCACTTTGACAAACGCACTGACAATTTCACTTTAAGTGAAGATAATGGATGGACCTGCATATTTGAAGGCTTTTTAAAAGGCATTGCAAGATAGGTGATAGTGTATTCTCATAAAAGCCTGCAACAGCTCTGTAGTGGTATTTAAGCCCTTAGAGCTCCTTACGCATATGTAACAAGCCCTAAGTAAAAAACCCTAGGGATTATGATTACTCATAGGACCAAGTCACTGGGTAGTCACTCTCCTAGACAAAATAATTCACTGATCCTGATGCATTTTTCTTCTTTTTTGGTCTAATGCTTAAGTTCAAACAGTGGTTTGGAATATTTAATTTTACTTTGTTATTGCAACTTTAAATGAAGAAGGAACATTGTTGAAAAAATTACTTGCAGGCAGACACAGCATTATCTTTTACTAGCTTGGTTACTTCTCATTCTCTATCATATGTTTTATGGAGATGAAATTCATTAATATACAGTTCCAGCCAACGGGAAATTAGGTAATGTGACTGGTGTATGAGCTGTGCTGTATTTTGGCCTATTCTAAGAGAATGTACTGAAGGTAAAGGGTTGTTCCTGATAACATTTAAGTCAATAGATAAACTTGAAATGACACTAGGAGTATAGAATCAGACCCTAATGAAATAAAACTTTGTTGTCTTTTAAGGAGACCAGCAGGAGTATTTTAAGTGTACCTCACTGAAATGACTTAACTGCTCTTTAACTGATTTTAACTAACTTCTTTATTCATTCATAGTTTTTAAGACTGAGAAGGTTAGCTGATTATCTAGCGTGACTTGCTGCTATGAAGGCTTATATTTAATGTGATGTCAAAACAGTGTGTTCTGTCTCTTTTTAATAGAAGATACCAAATTACTGCATGATTTAGACACTTTCGCTGCAGTAGTGGGATGCTGTAGGCTTATCCAGAGTGTGTTTGGGGGCTTGCAGGGACTGGTTTTGTCTTCATCCATATTTAAGAAAAGTGTCAGTTTGTATGAATGTGACATCTTGGTAATGTCTTTCTTTTAGTGAGGAGTGTCTTGTCAAAATCATCATTCAAGTAGGTGAGAAAGGATGTAGCCTATGTGTCTCCAGAAAGAGGGAAGTGATCAGTGTAAATGAGTAATATATATATAATCACTCCCTCTGTTGTTGTGATACGTAGTTACAAGAAGGAAGTAACTGAACCTGGTGCTGGATAACTTTTAGATGACTTCAGTTTGAGTAATTAGCAGTTACAGAAATCATTCCCAAAGGTAGCATTACAGAGGTCATTTTTATTGTGTTTGGATTGACATGCTCTGCTATTTTGTAGTGTCTGGGAAGCAAACCCAGTCATATGCACATGTGCGCACACCACCATACAGTGCAGTCCAGTACAGTTTTATTGATAGAGCTCTAGCAGTGTGTTTCACACTTCTTAATAGCTTGTCAGCTGTGCTACTACACCTACTGACCGAGTCTGCAAGTGACTGTGGAGTTCTCATTTCACAGCCACATGCTGTCCTTAGCAGGGTACACCTTTATAGGTCTCTCCAATGTCCAGTAAGACAGGATCAGATGTAGTCAGTCTGAAATCATGTAGTACATCACTCCGCTTCACTCCTCTAAACTCATCCTGCTTTGTGCATGGTTGTTGGCTAAGGCTCTTCTCCAAAGGGATTCTTAGATACACATGGTGTAGATCCAGAGAGATCTTTCTGTGTTAGCTACATTTGCAACACCCGTTTGGCTTAGGGAACAGTCTTGGCAGAAGAAAGCCACAGCCAAGGGATCTGTAAAAGGTACGGAATTACACAGCTTTGTCTTACCAGTAGGCTGTGTAGCTGAATTCCTCTTGTTACCATAGCCATCCTTGACTCCTCATATTCTGCCTCTCAGCACTGGGTCATGAAGGAGCAGTTAGGAAAACAATTTCAACCTTGAGAATCAATTTCTTGGCCTCACTTTCCTAGCTGCTAATTGGCCCTCTGTTTCATAGTTTACTTCCAGCTGTGTTTCCTTTTGCAAGTCTGACCAGCTGGGACATCATAGGATCCTTAAGGCAAAGGGCTGATTGCACTAGAGTGATAAGTCAACAGTTTATCCAACTGAGACGCCTGAAAATTTACCGTGTTCCACTTTACCAGGTTGTAACAACTGCCAAGTTAGAGACACTGCTCAGAATGCTGGGTAATTTATTTTTTTTTAAGGAGGGCAAAATCCCTAGAACGAAATCTTAAAACCTAACCAGAAATTGGCAAAAACTACAAAATCCAACTTCCTATCAGAATGAACAGGGTATTTCTGAGAATGCTGGAACTGAAGCCAGAGAAAGGTTAGTGCAGGGGGCACAAACTGAAAATGCAGGAGGCTTCGTCTGAGCATGAGGAAACACTTTTTGCTGTGGGGATGACTGACCATGGAACAGGTTGCCCAGGGAGCTTGTGGAGTCTTCCTTCTTGGAGATACTCAAAAGCCATCTGGACACAGTCCTGGGCAACTGACTAGGTGACCCTGCTTGATTGGGGGTTGGACTAGGTGACCTCCAGAGGTCCCTTCCAACCTTAACCCTTCTGTGGTTCTGTAATGGCAGGGACAACTCTATCCCAAACTGTCTTCCTCTTGATAGAAGAAACTAGATGCTTATTGTAAGTAGGAAAGCTCTTGCATTGATAAAAATGAAACAATATATTAGACTTAAACCGAAGGCTCAGTAGAAAATACAAGACAAATTATTTGACCTAAAATATATCTAAGAGGCCCCTTAGGACATTCATAGAAGTCTCTAAGCTTTGCAGGGAAACACTTGAGGAATTACAGTATTGGTCAGTACCTCTTTTGAAGAAACCTATTCAGGCTGCAGTATTTGGACAGCACAGATAGTTTTAGTTCATGTAAGTTATGAGGGTTTATATAATTTGTTTCTGTTTCTCTGCTTTACCATGTTGCTTTTGCTACTTCTCAAGACTAGTGATTTCACCAGTGGTGTCTCTCTGCTAATTTCTGAAAACAAGACATCAAGACTAAAAGCACTGATTAAAATACACTACGGGTATGGTATGCTGTGGTCAAGTTCAGCCATTCTTCTTAACTGTAGATTATCAACCAAATACTGGAATGATGATCTCGGGGGGGGGGGGGGGGGGGGAAGGTAAAACAAGGAAGTTCTGACTAAAAGATCAAACTGGTAAGGTGCAATTTTAGTCCATATTTGTCCTATACTTCCAGTGGGATTTAGAATTCATTTTCAGCAGTGCTTTAGTTGATAGGAAATATTACAGTGTGCCATTAAGTAGCTTTACTGCTTCACACTAAAAAAAATGTTGCATTTCTGTGGGTAATTAAGTTATTTCTCTGTAATTTGGGAATAATATTAAGACATTTTGTTCATATTAAGAACAGCACTACTAGTGGTCAAAGAGCTTACCAGCTCATTGCTTCATGTTTTTCCTCCACTTTTCCAAAATAAGGGTTGTTTAATGCTGCATCTGAATTCACTTATCACATACATCCTGGCCTGTATTTCACCTATTGGTCTGGGTTTATCAGCATGTGCATAGTATTGGATCAGAAAAACAGGCAGCTAGAGCACTTAGCTGCTATATAGAAGTTGCAAAGAGAATGGAAATCTGAATGCATATAGCTTCTTAAAAAGTCAAATAGGACTCTAATTATATGGAGCTAAAGAACGCCTGTTAAAAAAACCTGAAAAACCACAGTGGTTTTAGAGAAATTTTAATTTCCAGTGTACCTTTGTGCATCAAGCTTAGGATAAGTTATTGTGATGGTACAATGCGCAGTGTTGTGAACACCAGTGCCGTTATTGTGCCAGCTCTAATAATGAGAATTTCATTGTTTGGGGAGAGCAGTCTCCTACACTCTAGACAAAAGTGTAATTACTTTTGAACGATGTGGAATGTGCTCAGTTTAATAGCACGGAGAATAGACTCACAAAGATTCAGATAAAGCTAGCTTGGAAGCCATATGTGCAATGTGGCAGTATGAAATTGTTAGCAGGCACCGTAATTGCAACACACACGCACACACACAATTTCACAGTTTAAACTATAAACTGTTGTTTCTGTAAGAGATAGACAGGCTTATCTGAACAAGACTAGTTCAATTAAAACAAAGCAGAAACGGTGGTAAGTTT